ATATCCTCAAAAATAATGATTTATTATGCTCAAAATAATTGATTTATTTCAAATAATGACTTATCTCAAAATAATGGATTTAATGATCATCAAATAATGATTTAATATCTCAAAATAATGACCTTATTATCTCAAAATAATGAATTTAGATATCTCAAAATAATGATTTAATATCTCAAAATAATGATTTATTATCTCAAAATAATGATTTATTGTCAAAAATAATGGACTTATTCCCAAAAATAATGATTTTAATATCTCAAAATAATGACTAATATCTCAAATAATGACTTATTATCTCCAAAATAATGATTTAATATCTCATAATAGTGACTTAATATCTCAAATAATGACTATTATCCTTAAATAAATACTAATTATCCTTAAAATAATCGACTTATCTCAGATAATGACTTATTATCTCAAAAATAGATGACTTAATAGGCTCAGAATAATGACTTAATATCTCAAAATAACGTGTTGCTGGTCACAGTGGTGTTGGCGCCATCAATGGGGTGAAACTCGAAAGCCCCTAAACTAGCGACGGCTCTACGTACGCCGCACACATTTCCCTAGGCAGGCGGGACAGTTAAATGAATTCTCTCTCTGCCTTGGAGGTGAAAGTGAAACGCCGTCCGTCCCGACTCCTTTAAACAACCTCCGACTACAGGCCGGAGACCAAGCCTCGTGATTTCGGAAACAAGGCTAACGAAACCCCGGATCCGAGCAGCAAAGAACAATTCAGGCTGAAGCCCCAACTATTTATCAGCACGGTGACATTTCTCTCCAAAACACACACACACACACACACAGCACACCAGCACACACACTCCCCAGTGTTCCTAAAATACCCCGTGTACAGTGAAGGTTAGGACCCAGATAGTCTGACCGCGCGCAGCATTCGAAAGTCTGGTTTTAGGGCGGCGAGGTCGGGCAGACGCTGACATTTGTCTCCTGTTGTGACTGCGTCGACCCTCCGATAAATGTACCGATCGTCTCTTAGCAGGGCAAAGAAAGAATGCAATACAACCCACTAAACAAACTGTTTTTAAACTTCTTCTTAATCAGCCGACAGTGGCAGAGGTTGAAGAAACGAGAGGATCATCGCAGAAGTTTGGCATCTTATCGTCAAGGAAGGAACAACAATGAGTCGACTTTAAGTTGTTGAGATTATAGCGGAGATACGTTCTGCCAAAAAATAAAGGATCTGTAATTGCATTATAATAGAAACTTTCTTAGTGTCTTATATATAATCAATAATGATTAATACAGAGTAATGATCGCCATAGCATGAGCCTTAAAAAGTATATATTTGGCACCATAAAATGTCAGAAGATTCAAATTTCCCTTCTAAATCATTATTTTGAGATATTAGTCATTATTTTGAGATAATAAGTCATTATTTTGAGATATTAAATCATTATTTTGAGATAATAAATCATTATTTTGAGATAAGTCATTATTTTGAGATATTAGTCATTATTTTGAGATATTAACTCATTATTTTGAGATATTAGTCATTATTTTGAGATAATAAGTCATTATTTTGAGATATTAAGTCATTATTCTGAGATACTAGGTTTCAGTTTTGGTTATAGATAGTTTAGAGGGGTTACAGTTGAGCTTGTTTACGTCAATCTCAGTTAACACTTTCCTGTTCTGACGTCTGAACTGAGCTCCAGTATGAACGCTGACCTTGGCTTACAGCACAGAGGGTTGCAACATGAAGCCCTGGCCTCCGGTAAACAGTGTGACCGGCGGTATCTGGCGCTTACCGAGTCCTCCGGCGGCCGGTTGATCTTGGCCCAGTCGACCGAAGGACCTTTGACCTGCAGGAATCTGTGGAAGATCTTCTTAAAGCCATCGAAATCTTTTCTGGAGATCTGAAACAGAACAAACCAAACTTCAGCTGGAAACCGGAAATCAACATTTCACATCAGGATCAATAAATATCACTCGTGTTGATCAGCAGAGACACAATAAACACATCTCTAAGGTCTGAGGTTACTCTTTGTATTTCTTACTGAAGTAAAAGACCAAAACAATCCACAGGTTGCAGCTCACAGAGCAAACTGCTTCCTACTGAAGTCTCATTTTAAAAAAGGCTCAATCATTTCCTAAAACTGCTGCTCAGAGGAAATTTGTTGCATTTGTTGGGGACTATTTTCAGCGGCGGATTGATCCACAGTTGGTGCTCGGGCAGGAGGCAGATTTATTTCTCATAAGAAGTTGATTATTGTTTATGAACATTCATTTTACCTCCGATTACTGTCACAGTTTAATGTGTGGTACCAGATAAAGCTCATTTTCCTCTGTAGACTCAGGGCGGAGGTCAGTAGTACGTAAGTAGTAGTAACTGAAATGAATCTGGTCTTTGAAGAGTTAAATGTTGATCAGATCGACCTTAAATCCTGTCAGAAGAGTCCAAACAGCTCGATGATGTTATATCGTGACTCTTGTGACTCGTTGAACAGCGCGTCCGTGGTGAAACAGGAAGTTGTTGTAACTTGATGATTTTTGTCATTTTATTTTGCTAATTTAATGTTCTGCCTCCGGAGAACGCAGCAGACGCACACGGGCAGTAAGAAAGTCAGAAAAATACTGAATAAACTGATTCTACGGGAGCCAAAAACATGATTAACATTCAGCATTAGAGGGAGAAACTACAGCTTGAAGTTTCTGTTATAAAGTATTATTCCAGCTTTACTTTAATTATCTGCTGCAGCTCAACTGTGTGTGTGTGTGTGTGTGTGTCCTCAGGGTTGTTCACCTCCTGTCTGTGTGCTCTGTGATAAGACGACCTAATGGACTCTGTATGCAACACTTTACAAATATTTGTTCTATAAATGTAACAGAAACGTTTTCAGGCCTCGAACTGAATTTATTCCAGTTAAAAGTGAATAAAAACGGTAAAAAAACACACAAAGCTGTAAAAGACAGACGGCTCCTGACTGGATTCAGTTTGGATTTTGGTTCTTTAGCTCAGAACATAAAGAATTTATTCTGCTTTAACTCTTGTTGTGAGTGAAACAACACGAGTCTTTAACCAAAGTGACAGGTTGAGTGGAAATATGTTCTTCCTGTTTTTTAGCTGAGAGGTGTCTTGTGCCTTGTGTGTAAAGAAACGAGTGAAGAACGACACTATATATAGTTTCTTTTAATCACGGTGGCAGAGAGGAGGAACAGACAGCATCGGTCCGGTTCTCCTCCCAGTGATGATAGGAAACCAGACAGCTGGTGAGCGAGCGGGTCAGACACACGTAGAGTTGTTTCAGTCGTCTAACCGGGATTAATGTGGTCGAGTGTTTGTTTCAGGAGTAAACTGAGACTTCTGTTTGTGGGGGGGTTTCTCACCTCTGCTTCGGGCTTGTTGGCCGTGTTGAGCAGTGCCTCCAGCTCGCGGTGCATCGACTCCTCGTGCTGCTGACGGAGCTTCTCCTGGAACTCTGTCATCACGCCTCTGGTCAGGTCTGCAGACACACGGACACAGAACAGACCTCCGGCGTTAATCCTCATCACGGGAACAAACGCCGAGAAGAGTTTCAGAGTTTGTTCATCAGGGTTGAAGTTACAGGGTGAAAAAACAGCCCAGAAACAAAAGAACCAGACAGAAAAAAACTGGATTTCTTTTCTTTTCTGAGTCTAAAAATACTCGAGTTGACCTTGAACACCTTGAAACAAGTTTTTAAATGTCTGAAGTGAAGTCTCTAATATCTCAATCTATAGATCTATAAAGAAATGTTGTTTTGTCGGCGTGTAATTTGGTCATGTGAAGGATTTTCACAGTTCACAGTTTCACAAACAGATAGATTAGATAGAACTTTCTTACTGAGTTTAACAAGACAAAAGTAAATTCTTTATGTTAATATCGTTTATGTAAAAACATCAGATACAAAACTGACATGAGTCTAATCACACACATTAAAAAAAGTCCCCAAATGTGTCAGAACAAGCTGCATTATAAACTTACCAGCTACAGTTAGAGACATTTTTACCACAATTTGCTTAAAAACAAACAAGAACTGAACGATAAGATCTGCGGGCAGGAAGTGGCGGCGGGTGGCGGCGGGCGGCGGCGTGCAGGTTCAGGTGTCGGCTCACAGTGAGTCCATGTGTTCGTTAAAAACGGTCCCGGTGAAACAGTGAAGCAGCTGTCAGAGAACAACAGACCTCCTCCTCATCCTCAGCACAGAGGGAGCTCACAGATCTGCAGCTCCGACCCTGAACACAACACGGGGGCCGGCCCACACACACACACACA